TGATATTAGATAGGCATTGTAGTAGAAGATGCAAGGTTGACCTCATTTGTGTGGTTAAAGCACCAGTACACCACACACCCTTGGGCCGCTTCACCCTTAACCAGGGCGCCAAAAATACACGACTTCCTAGCACTTGACCATACCCCATTGTATTGTAAGCATATACAGAACATCGAAACCCAAAGGATACCAGGTCTAAACACTCATTCATATATCCATACCACGATCTGGGAACCAAGCATAGATTTGATGGAGGATAAGGATCAGGGAAGTCCGTCAGAGGCCTTAAACCACCAGTACTTGGCCCAGCTATGGGCGGCCGAAAAGAATAGAGTAGAAACATTTCTAGTTGGATGAATTTGGGCGATCCTGTAGTGGCCCGTACGTTTCATAAAATCGCGTAGCGTTAACGGGCACGACTTTAGGAAGTACTGGTGGTTTAATGGAATATCAGGGTCAACTTCACTCCAGTCATTGAAGACCAAGCGGTCATTCCTTTGAAACCCATCCTGATCATTTTCTTGGCCTCCCTCTTGTGCTCCCTCCCATTTCACCTGCCCTAACCTCGCGCCCTGCTCCCCCGAAAGCCAGCTTCGATTGGAAAGTTGAATGGGGTAACTTAAGTAGAGTCACAAAAAGGAGTTGTAATTCCACTATGGGGCAAGATACAGTTTGCAATTGCACTTCAGGCACCCTATCTGGCCAGAAAGCTGGGTTGTATACATTGCCCAAAGTGCACTTCGAAACTGTACCTTGGCCCATAGTGCAATTATAACTCGTTTTTGTGACTCCCGCGTAGTTACCACTAGTGTGTGTGTGTGTGTGTGTGTGTGTGTGTGTGTGTGTGTGTTTTTCCCCAATGTTGCAAGAGATCTCTTTTCAATGTCAAATACTGTATTTTTTCCTTTAGAATTTCCCATTTGGTAGTAATCTCTGTTTGAATATGTTGGCCCATCCAAGCGTGCTCCTAGAAGCTGCCCCATGTTTTGCATGTGCTCCAGAAGAGCAGCCCATGGGAATGACACCCACAGCAAACAGTTTTTGAGCCTCCTTTTCTGAGCCTCCTTTGCGAAGGTACCGTGGCCAAAACTCCAGACATACATTCCCTTCCATTAAACTCTTGGCCACCCACAGACACCTTCACAAAGAGACAGCCTAAGAAAAGGCCATTTGTAATGAACAAAACAACCAACAAAACATCCATCCACAAAAGAAGGTTAGCTCTTATGGCCGTATCTGGACTGAAAGCCCATGGGAATGACACCCACAGCTATAATACAATGACCGGGCGTCTATTCGGGTGGAGACAGTGGCACGAGCCCGATCCTACGCGCTCAAATCTGCCAGGACAGATAGCTAGCGAGACCGAGAAATGTGTGCTTTAAAAAAAAAACAAGCAGACCAGCCGCGGCTTCGCCCTCCCGCGGTCTAGAGTCGTGGAGGTGAGAGGTCTGACGAGACAGGGGATCGCCAAATCACTCTCGAAATCTGCAAAATGAGAACGCACTTCCCAGTAGAACATGGCCAGATGCCCCCGCAACAATTGTCTTTTTTACATTTCGAGAGTGGTGTTGCGAGGCCCACAATCTGGCAGTCTTTTTTTTTTTGTGGAGTTTTGTACCCTCCCGTGTTGTTTCACGTGTCCCATTGTTAAACTCTGTGACGTTCCGGTTTGATAAAAGAGCCTATTCTACCAAGTAGCATTTATGTTAAGTTTAGTTGCTTGGGCAGTAATACCTTTTGATTATGGTATGGTGCTATCAGATTTAAATGTAGGTATCCTTTACATATTTGTTATTTCGTCTTTAGGTTTCTATGGTATTATCACAGCAGGTTGGTCTCGTAATTCCAAATATGCTTTTCTAGGAGCACTATGGTCTTATTATAATTACTGTATTAATTTGCATAGGTTCTTGTAATTTCACGGAAATCGTCATGGCACAAAAACAGATATGGCTTGGTATTCCCCTCTCTCTCTCTCTCTCTCTCTCTCTCTCTCTCTCTCTCTCACACACACACAAAAAAAAAAAAAAAAAAAAAAAAAAAAAAAAAAAAAAAAAAAAGGGAGGCCACTCATCCCACTCCTAGTCCTCCCCCTCCTCGTCCTGCTCATTGCCCTCTTTTCCTCCACCTCCTCCTCCTCCAGCTCCCTGTCCTTGAGCCGTCGTGGCTCCTCCTCTCGCTCCCACCCCTCTTCCCCACCCTCCTGCTGCGGTTTCTGCTGCCCCCGGTCCCACTCCTCCTCCCCCTCCTCTTCCTCCTCCCGCTCGTCCTCTACTCCTCGGTCTTCCTCCTTGCTCCGGTCCGCTCTTCCGGCCGTCCTCCTCCACCTTTGCTTCCTCCGCTTCCTCACCCCGTCCTCTTCTTCTTCATCCTCCTCCTCTTGCTCCCGCTCCTCTGCCTGGTCCTCCTGTTGGCATTCCCAATCCTCCTCCCGTAGCACAACTGCTCTCGCCACTCCCTCTCCTGCTCGCCCTGTTCACTGGCCTCGTGCCTCTCGCTCTTCACGCTCCCCACCTCTCTCGTCTTCCCTCTTGTCCTGCTCCTGCTCCTCCTCCTCATCCTGTTCTTCCTAAGGGCATACTCACACTAGCACATACAATCGCAAATCATATGTGAGACAATTTGCGTTTATGCGGCACTTACCAGTCACACCGCACACCCGTATACGTCACAAAACAGAGAGGACACAGTCTCGACTTGCTCTAGGAATGTGATTATACGGGCCGAGGGGTCACACAGCACGATGCATAAAAATCCATCCCTTTTTCCTTTTTTTTTTTTCCCTTTTCTTACGAGAGCTGCCCACCAAACGTCGAATTCTTTTTTTTTTGTTTCCAGAAAGAAACAGGTCTAAAAGAAATACACAATTGTGGGGACCTCCACAGGTTCCCACAAAATAAGTAGCCCCGCGGCTGTCCAAGCCGCTGATGCATTTGGTGGAGGGAGGGGTGATCTTTCTCGAAGAATCCTAACATCCAGTTCAGTATTTTTTCCATTTGGTTTGTCTCTCGAGGAGGTTGTAGGAATAGGTGCTATCTGGCAAGTCATCTATGGTCCTGCAAAGGGTGGTTGAAAATTCGGCGGCCCTCGAAGACGGCTGCTGGAGCAACGCTGGCCGGAGCCGGAGCTGGAGCCAGGTGGGGCAACTCTGTGACCTAGCTTAGTGGGGGCGTGAGGCCTGTTAGAGAGATCTGGGGGCCTGTTTGCGGGGGCAGTCTCAGTGGTCATTGGGGGTTGTAACTGGAGCAATGCTGGCCAGTGCTGGAGCAAGGTGGTGCAACTCTGTAACCTAGCCTGATGGGAACATGAGGCCTGGAAGAGCTTTGATTCGTGCTGAAAACAGACAAGCTGGTGGTAGTCGTAGGTGGATTGAATAGGTTCCACCTATCTCATTCGTGTTTGGGAGGCTTTCTGACACACATATTTTAGTGACTTGGTAGAGTTTGAGTAGTGGACCACAAATATTTCCGAGTTCTTCCTTTTTCTTCAATTGTTCTTAGCCGAAGCCGGGTAATGGCCCCGGTCGGCGGTAGCTCACTTTTGTATCCTGATAAGGGACGCTGGGCCCGGTTCCCAGCCGTGTTGCTACCCATGAATAGATGGGAGCATCGTCTAATTAACAAAAAAAAAAAAAAAAAAACCTTTAAAAAAGCTGAGTACGGACGCCGCTCGGCCGGGCGGGGCCCGGGCAGGTCGCTCGGGCAAACCGGGCGGGCCAGAAAACAGCCCAGAATTTTTTTATTTTTTTTTTGAGGGCGGGGTCGTACTGTGCTCAGCGAGAGGACCCCGAATCTGCAATAAAATTTTGGTTTGGGGG